TATTTATTCTGAAAAAATAAACAGTTCTGGACTGTATACCATGTGATTTCATAGACCACCAGCATGTTAAACTGCTTATTCCCAGGGTCCTCACTCTCCACGTGGAGAAGCATAGGTCTGGGTCACTCCAGGATCAAGGGATCTGGGAAGGAGAGCATGCCTGTTCCTTGGATTTCCAGAAAGGACAGAGCAGATGTATTTTATCCTTTCCCTCTCAGTTCTAGAATGTCTTATCATGTTTGTTGTTCTATCCCCCAAGCCTAGAATAGTGCCTGGCACCTAGTGAGTGCTTCATCAGTATTTGCTGATTGAATGTTTAAAATATTGCTTAGGTGGGAACGTAGTAGGGCTAGTGGAAGTAGAGACTGTTGCCAGACTGTGAGAGTGGTTTCCTGAAATGCTAAAATGTCTTCAATGGCTTCCATTGCCTATGAGATACAACTCACTCTATCATGTGGCCTATATTGTGTTTATATTATAAAATTACATTTATTAAAATAGTTTGTGCTGACAACAACTGGTCAGACAAATTAAAAAAACAAAAATCAAGAGGCCAAAAATAGACCCCAGTGTATATGGGCATAAACACCATTAATTCCTTAATATCATCAAATAGTGTTCAAATTTCCAAAGTTTATTTCTCTCTCTCTTTAGTTATTTCAGTTTATTTGAATTAGGGTGCAAATAAGATCCATGCACTGTGATTTTTTTTGTGTGTCTCTTAAGTCTTTGTTGAAGTATAGGTCCCCAGCCCCAACCTTTTTTATTTTTCCACAGTTTATTTCTTGACGAAACCTGGTTATTTGTCCTGTGGAGTCTCCCACAGTCTGGATTTTGCCAGTTGCTCTCTGCACTGTGTGCTAAGATGTCCTCTGTCCATCCCATAAATCTCTTCTGACCACAGGCTAGAGCAGATCCAGATTTCACTGGTTTAATTTGTTTTGGCTTGGTCTGGTGTGGTCTGGGCAGGGCTACTTCTAGCAGAAAGGACATACCTCCTGGCTCTCTGCTTTACTGTGATATTAGTAACCACTGATGGTCAGCTAGGTCCATTAATTCAGTAGAGGTTGTAAATTATGATGTTTTAATTCGATAACTCTTTTTCATTAATTAACCAGTGTCTTAGTCTATTTGTCTGTAACCAAATACCACAGATCAGGTAATTTACGAAGAACAGAAATGTATTTCTCACAGTTATGGAGACTGGGAAATCCAAGGCTAAGACACTGGCCTCGGGGGAAGGTTGCTGTCTGCTTCCAAGACGGTTCCTTGAACGCTGCTGCGTCCTCTGGAGGGTGGAACCCTATGGACTTCCATGGCAAAACTGGAAGAGCAAAAAGGTCAAACTCTTTTGTGACAGATTAAACACCTCCCTAAAGGCCCCACCTCCCAACACTGTTGCCTTGGGGAGCTAGTTTCCAACATATGAGTTTTGGGAGGTGCATCCAGACCACCACAGCCAGAATAATTCTATAAAGAAACTCTTCTTCCATCTGCTTTTTGGTTACTCACTGGTATCATTTATATAAAAGAAATAGGGTAAATGGATTATTCTTCTCACTTAAATACCTGATTCAAATCAGTGAATGAGTTTGCTAGCATCCTTCAACTGTGACCAATTAAGTTTGTTCTTTTTTTGGTAACATTGTGAACTCATGGCCTTAGGCATATTTGATTTGTTTCAATAATTCACTGTAGATACTACTTTTTTTTTTTTTTTTTTTTAGACAGAGTCTCACTGTGTTGCCCAAGCTAGAGTGCCGTGGTGTCAGCCTAGCTCACAGCAACCTCAAACTCCTGGGCTCAAGCAATCCTTCTGCCTCAGCCTCCTGAGTAGCTGGGACAACAGGCATATGCCACCATGCCCGGCTAAATTTTTCTATATATTTTTAGTTGGCCAATTAATTTCTTTCTATTTTTAGTAGATACAGGGTCTCGCTCTTACTCAGGCTGGTTTCGAACTCCTCACTTTGAGCAATCCGCCCACCTTGGCCTCCCTGAGTACTAGGATTACAGGTGTGAGCTACCAAGCCTGGCCAGATACTATTCTTTTTAATATTCAAATTGTCCTATCTTTGGCCAGTAAGAGCATCTTCAGATTAGCTCCCGATTCCTCTTGGTAAAAAGTGGTGGTCTTCAATAGTTTTACTGCTCTCTGGTCTGTCACGTGTTCTAGGTTGTCATGCACATTGCCTTCTTAAGACCTGCTGTCAGCTACTTCTCCAAAATGTCCTGGCTCCTTTTAGTAGTGTTTGAAGTGGTATTTGAAGACTACTGTCTCAGAGCTAGAGGCGCTCACTGATACTGGGTTAGTCATTATTTCTAGACAGAGTAAGGAGATTTTTTTTAAGATAAAATGAACCTGAGATTGTATAGATACTTCCAATACACCTTTAAAACTCTAAAAGTAACTTCTTAGATCTTACATCTCTACTTTCTTCTTCCTAAGCTTGGAATCCTGGTTGTCAGCACCCCCAGACATGATAGAATTAGGTCATCGTGTAGTAGCTTATTTGCCTTGTCCTGGCGAGCAGACGCGCAGCAGTCTCAGAGTAGCAGTGCCAGCACCGCCACTACCGGTGTGAGTGCCAAGAGCAGTTTAAGGTGGATTTGGTTTTGTGTTTTATTTTGTTTTTTTGAGCTTAAAGCACTTAACTTAAAAAAAATACTAGAAGAGAGAAGCACTGGAAGAAAACAAATAATAGCACCGGGGTGGGAAATTCCTTCTAATCATAACCCAGCAGCCATCATTAAAGGGTTGGTCAAGAGATGATTTATAAATTTGGCAAAATTAAGAGGAAAAATTCTATACAACCAAAAGTTACCACAAAGTAAAACCTCCACAGACTCACACTTGAGTATCTGAGAAACTCACACTGAGTACCCTCACCGCCTGTCCTTCCCTGAGGGCTCCTTGGCACCCCTGCAGAACCGCCTTATAGCTTCTGCGGTGTGGGGGTGTTTACTCTTTTTACAGATGGCAGAAACTCCGACTCTGTTGAGTTTCTTGTCCAAGGTCATATTAGATGGTGGCAGAGTGGTGGCCTAAGCCCAGCATGCTGCTATCACAGCCATTCTCTTTATAAGGAGTTAGTAGGATGGCCAACCACTATTGGGGCTTGAAGAGCATTAGTGGATAGGCAGGTGTCTTGCTTGTCCACGTTGATTACAGCACCTGCCCAGATGAGCCCAGCCTTGTTCTGCTCCCCTCAGTGGAATGGTTCAGGTCCCTCCGTGAGGGTTGTGTGTGCACACAGAGAGCAGAGCATGGAACATTCCGAATCCAAAGGGGCAGGACCTCAAAGATCCCACCCTCACTTTTGTTCAGGGATTGATTGCTTACTTTGCCAAAGTGACCTTACCTTGGTGTCTGCTGGGCTATCTGCTCCCTCTGTGCCCATCTCCAGCGCCATAGCTCACACTCTATTGAATTTCTTGCATTGGCCTCTCCCAGTGTATTGTAAGCTACTGTAGGAAAGGCATTATCCTCAACTTACAATGGGCATTTAGTAGATTTATTGACACAAATAGCAACAAGGTGATTTCTGTCTGAATCTATGTTAAATGACTTGAAGAGATGGATAGTTTGACTTACGTTGTAGAAGGTCAAATTGAAGAATGACTACCATCTTACACTTTCTAGAAGCCTGTTACTTAAAATGTTTTCTTTTTTCCAGGTGATATGCGGCATCCAAAGCGCGTTCAGCAGACAGATCTGGCTGCGACACTGGCAATAGGGCTTGGTCTGCCGATTCCAAAAGACAGCGTAGGGAGTCTTCTATTCCCAGTTATAGAAGGAAAACCAATGAGAGATCAGTTGAGATTTTTACATTTAAATACAGTACAGCTCAGCAAATTGTTGCAAGAAAATGTACCGTCATATGAAAAAGGTAAGTCAATCCATAGTTGCTGACTTCTATCAGAACTGTATGTTTCCATTGAGCTGGTGTTTTTCTGATGTTTCTGTGGTGTGCAGTTTGTCACAGGAATACTTTACAGTCAACACTCATTGATTATGCAGGTGTGTTATTGTTTTCTTAGAACTTTAACTGTCACTTTTAGCAACACACATAGATGCAGTTATTTAAGTGAAATTCTTTCATAAATTTATTTATTCACCAAATATTTACCAAATTCTTGTTATCACGGAGGGACTGTTAAAATCACCTGAAATAAAGCATTGAGCAGTGCAATGGCTCTGCCCTCATGAAACCTTCCAGAGGAAGGGGAGAAAAAGTACAGTGATAGATGCCAGATGGTGATGAATCCCTTAGGAACAGAATAAAGGGGGAAGGTGTGCAGCATGCAGGTGGGTGGGAGCCATTGGGGCAGGCCTGGCCTTTGAACAGATGTCTGGGTGGGAGCCTTGCAGCTGTGGGGTGCAGACAGGGTCCTGCCATGGGACGTGCCTGCACATTCAAGGAATGACCAGGGCCAGAGCAGCCACAGGAGGGCAGAAGGCTAAGACAACAGAGATGTGAGACTGTTCAAGCGTTGGTGGGGCTTTCTCCTTTGGCTGAGTTAAGGGGGGAGCTGCTACCAGGCTTCGTGCAGGGCCTGAAATCTTCAGCTTGCCTTTTCCAGGGCTCTCTCAGGGACAGCCTTGAGGGTGCAGCCTTGTGGTGTAAGAGGTGTAAGAGGTGAGCAGTGAGGAGTCGGCTGCCATACTTTGGGCAGAGGTGAGGGTGGTGAGGGCTCAGGTGATGGCGGAGTCTGGGAGGAGTGGTTGCATTCTGGATACATTTTGAAGGTCATGCAGACAGGATTTACTGGTACACTGGTCTATAAGGTACAAGCAGACCAGAGGTGTGAAGAACAACTCCAACTTTTCAACTGAAAGGAAAGAACAGAGTGACTATTTCCTAGGGGGGCAAGATGGTAGGAGGAGCAAGTTTGTGAGGCAGGGTGCTTGTGGGGCGAGGGGTTTGGTGTCCAGAAAGCCACGTAGGGAAGGAATTTCAGGAAGGAGGGAGTGAGCAGCTATGCTGAGTGCTGCTAAAATAAGATGAAGAATTGAGAACTGACTGTTAGACCTGGCAGTGTTGGGTTATTGGTGACTTTGTCAGGGGTAGCATATGCAGCTGTTGGGGCAAGGCCTGGCTGGCTGGTGCGGGTGAGGGCCGCAGATCACAGATATGGCAGCTCTGATGGCAGTAGGAGATGGACTGGGTCTGAGGTGGATGCGGGGCCAAGAGAGGGCGTTTTTTTTTTTTATTTTTAGGCTGGGAGATAGTCGGGGTGTTTATATACCCGTAGAAATGATCCAGGAGAGGAGAGTGCAGCTCCCTGGGACATTTCCACATGATTTACTCTGACACATCCAGTTTCATCAAAATAACGGTATTGACACTAGAATTCGTTTGAGAGTCTGGAAGCAGTGGGCTTCTATTTTGAGGCAGCATTTAATATGATGTTGGCAGGTTTTCTTAAATTAGTGAACAAATAGTACTGCCAAATAGAGTGAACACCTATGGGTCTGTGCAGAGATACAAACTGACCTCGAGTCATGTGTGTAAGCCTGAGTCACCTGCCAGCTGAGGAACGGTTGGGAACCAGCTCTCGGTCCTCAGACAGGCCAGACAGGGCACTTTGTTAAAGGAGAGGCCTGGCTACAACGCACCTTGCAGTCTAGACCAAGAACAGATGTTAGTTTTATCTTTGTTTTTTTCAAAAATAGTATTAGCTTCGTAGATTTTGCATATTTGTTGTTTCATTAATGTGTCCTTTTTTCTATACTAACAAGCAATAAAAACACCACCAACAAAAAAGGACATTGGAGGGGTCGTTTGCCTCTTTCAGAAACAGCAGGGTAGAGAGAAACCGAGAACTGATGGATGTGGAAGGAAATGAACCTGCTAAATGAACATAGGACTGTTCCTTGGCCAAGAAAACAGTCATGGGGTCTTACACCCAGGAAGCCTGTTGTCCACACTGTCAGTGATCATGTTTCCCGAGACAAACTTGGGTACGTGTTCTGACGCTGAAATATATTTTAGAAGCCACAACAAGGCCTGCAAAGCCCTCCAGGGTACCCAGCTGACAGCTCGCCCATCTGGCTATCTTTCAGTTCTAGGGACCAGCTTCTTCTCACCTCAGAACCTTTGTACACGCTGTTCCCACTGACTGGGTGCTCTTCCCCAGTTTTCCACTTTGTTAATTCCTGGGCATTCTTTACATTTCAGCTTAAATATCAGGACCATTCTTGTCCCCCACCCCCACTCACAGTCTAAAATCAGTTCTTCCCCACTACCAAAAATCTCTTGTTATACTCTACTTTTCCTTCATGTTCACACTTGTAATTAACATGTGTGTGCATGTTAACCCTGCAGGATCCAAGCAGGCAGGAACTGTACCTGTTGGCTCACCTGTTATATTTCTTGCCCCTTGCCCCTTGCCTCTGGCATGTAGTCAGTGCTCAGTAAATATTTGGGTACATGTACAGGTGTCCCTCATGTCTCTGTGACTCCTCGATAGGGTGTAGACTCAGGTGCCCCCCTATATCTCTATAATTCCCAGGTGGTGGGGTGTGGACAGAGATGCCCCCCACTTCTGGGTGGTGTGTGTAGCAGTTAAGGGTGCCAGCCCTGGAGCCAGACTACCTGAGTTCCAACTCCAGCTTTTACCAAGGAGCTCTGTGACCTGAGCAGGTGATTGGCCCTCTGTGTCTCAGTTCCCCCCTCTGGAGAACAGGTGTGGTACTCATCCTTGCCTCATAGGGTCATTTGGGGGGGGTGAAATGAGTTAGCTGCTCAGGTGCCAGGCACTGGCACTCTGTGCAGATCATTAGTGCCAGCTGCAGTTAGGGGCCTGGGATTAGGGGCCAGGCATTAGGCTTCATGCTCAGGAACTTTTGCCACAGGGCCCTGGAACCCAGCAGCCAGGGCACCTGCAACAGCCTCTCTGTCACTGTGGTGATGGGGGAAGGCCTGAGGGTATGCTCATGGTGTCCTTGGTGCAGTATCCTGTTGGATGGTGCAAGGCTGAGAGGCGTAGCAGAGACTATCCTTGAAGTGGCTCTGCTGGAGCAGGATATACATATTAAATGCCAGGGAGTCTTGGAAAGAAAGTTCTTGCTTTGCAGACCAGTCTAGTCACAAGCAAGTGTGGTCTAGGCAAAGACTCAAGACTGGCCAGCCCTGTAAAGGAAGTACATCAGTCTTGACCTTGAGCAGCATGCTATGTCATCTAAAGGGGGAGTCAGCCACAGCAAGGGCTGGGCCTATGAAGAAGCAGAGCATCCACATTAGCGACATAGCTTGCCAGCATGAGCAGGGGGACTTGGAAACTGCTGTCCTTTTCCAAAGAGGAAAAACAAGAAAGAGAACCCAGGTTCAAGGGTGGGTGGTGTTAGTGCAGGGGAAGTAGATCCTGGACTGGGAAGTGGCCCTGGCAGAGAAGGCCCCTGCCTGCCCTGTCCTCACACAGCGCTGCAAGCATTAGAGAGGTTCTGTAAAACTATGGGGTGTTAACGTGGTGCATTTCAACACTTTTTATATAGCGCAGTGAGGAAGAGAAGAGTAGAAAGAAACAGAGAGAAGGGTGAGGAGGAGCTAAGACCAGGTGAGGGAGGTAGAGCAAGGCCAGGCAGAGCAGTGGGCAGATACTTGTGTCCTCCGTGTGGCAAGGCCCAAGGGCCCTATAGTGCTGGGGCTGACAGACCAGCACCCTCAGCTTTTATGGTTTTACTGCAGGTGCTGCTGCCCCTCCCCCACAGGAGTACTCATTTCCATTAGGTGTCAGTCCCCAAAATTGAAGACTTTGCCATATGCCATGAATAACTGCATTCTTTGAAATTATATGCATGTATATATGTCCATGATATGTGTGCATGTGTGTAACCTTTCTGTCTTCTTGATAGATCCTGGATTTGAGCAGTTTAAAGTGTCAGAGAAGTTGCATGGGAACTGGATCAAACTGTACTTAGAGGAAAATAAATCAGAAGTCCTTTTCAACCTGGGGACCAAGGTTCTCAGGCAGTACCTAGATGCTCTGAAGACCCTCAGTCTGTCCCTGAGCACACAGGTGGCCCAGTACGACATCTACTCAATGATGGTGGGGACTGCGGTGGTTCTGGAGGTACAGATTCTCACATAGAGTCATGGCTCAGGTGTTAAATTGATTTGATAACTCAGCCAAAATATTCTAGTTTACAATATATATCTTGGTGTTACTAAAAATGGAAAAATACTAATTTTCTTGTCTTTTTCATTGTGTGTCCTGATTTGTGACAATGCACAAAGTTTTGTGAGGTATCAAGTGGCTTCACTGGCTGCAGGTGATAAAAAATCAAGCCAGCGTGGCAGTTAATTAGAACTAACCTTTTGTTGGGCTCTCTATAGTAAGGAGGTTTCCTCAAGCCCAGCAGTCTGTGGACGCTGCCGTTGTCTCTGTCCCAGGTTCTCACCCTGCTTCTACTCAGCATCCCGCAGGCGCTGCACAGAAAGGCTGAGCTGGACATTTCGCTGTCTTCTCCGGTGATTTCCCTGCTCTTTTATTTGATGTTCCTGGTTCTGTCAGCCTTTCACGTCATCGTGTGCACCTCTGCTGAGAGCTCGTGCTACTTCTGTGGCCTCCCGTGGCTGGCGGCGTGCGGAGTGATGGCATTGATCTCTGCGCTGCTCTGTGCAATAATGTCTGTTCTGACCAAGATCTTTGTCCGTGGAAGTCTCCCGAGTAAGGTACAGCTGGTTCCTGGGAGTACAGCATTGTCTTTCTGCACAGGCTGCTGTTGCTATTTCAGCCGATCTTTCATTTCTCAGATACTAGTTGAACACCTGGTGTGTGCCGGGCGCAGTGGGGCAGGGCACGGCGGGGGAGTACTCTGAGCAGCCTTGCCAGGCCTCTGGGTGTAATGACACAGGTGTCCAGAGCTGTGTTGGGAGGTCACATGCCTTAATTCTTGGTTAGAAAAACAGTGTTCCTGCACTGTAACAAAGTTGTTTGTAAAGAGCTGCCTGCTACAGAGGAACGGGCACCCCACTGATGGGTACATGAATCAGACCATCTCTCTACAGAGGCGTCTGAGCTGCAGCCAAGGGAAGAAGAAAAAGTCAGCTGGTTGGACACTCAGGAGGATCAAAAGGGGACTTGGTCTTCCTAACTCATCCTGTTATTTTGGGAATCTACTCTTTCTCATAAGTCCAGATTTCTTTTCAAGGCTGGCATTTTCCATTGGAATTCTTAGTCTTTGGCCTCTGCACCTCCATTTGTTAGCTGGGTAGTGGTGGCTGGGCAGTGAAGGGGAGGGGTAGGTGGCTGCATTCAGGTCCACAGTGCCAGATCCCAGGACCAACGGGCCCGGTGCACTGACAGCACACTTTACTCACCCCCTGCCCCATGCCTGTGTAGCCCTCATCCCCTCCCCTTGTCACAGGGCCATCAGAGGCCCTTTGTTCTGTGTCTGTCTTGTCAGGCCATAGGTTTCCCTAGAACTGGGATTACCAGTTCCCTAGAACCAGGGATTACCTTTGCCCACATTGGCATCCCTGGGGCCTAGCTAGGGTCACAATCTCCCTCTCTATTATACCCAGCTGTACAATAAATAGTTATCAAAAAGAATAAATGACAGTAATTGAATCCTCATCTTTAATTTTCACTGTTTTAAGTTAGTATATTTAAAGGATAGTACTGTGATACCAACTTTGTTATTTCAACAGGATTAACCATTTTAGTGGAAACTTTCTGGATTGCTGGAAAATTCATGGAGAAATTATATGTCTCCTTTGGTAGAATGTATCATTGGGTTCTTTGGTTTCAAGCAGCAGGAACTGGCCATGGCCAGTTGAAGACCTGGGCTCTGCAAAGGCACAGAGGAGGGAGTGTGGAGGGCCAGCAGAAGCTACTGGGCGAGCTCTTTGGGCTCTATCACCGCCCAGAGGGATCTAACCATTTTCAGGCTCTTTTTTGCTCATCTTGGGATTTGCAGTCCAGTGTGAGGACAGCTGATTGACCGTGCTGTGTCCATGTCCCCTGGCTGGGGTGAGCGCATTTTGACTGCCTCCAGTTGTGTCCTGGGAGGAGGGGCTGTCCCACTGAAGAGGAAAGGGCCTGGCAGAGCTGGGGAGAGGTCCTGGGCATGAGGAACAGCAGGTGTCTGTTGCAGGGGATGATTTATTGTGCAGGCAGCAAGATGTGTATAATTTTCAGATTATCTCTTACAAAATGCATTTGCATCTTTGCAGAATCCAGCTCATCCCAACTCAGGGTGGTCAGAGTTAGACCTTCTGATGGTGTTTGGGACGGTGGGCCACGTCTTGAGTTTGGGTGCCAGCAGCTTTGTGGAGGAGGAACACCAGACCTGGTACTTCCTCGTGAACACCCTGTGTCTAGCTCTGAGTCAAGAAATCTACAGAAGCTACTTTCTGAGAGATGACGGTGAGCCTCAGTGTTGCTTCCATGTGGAACAAGGGTTTGCTGGTGCCACTCCAGCATTGCAGGACAGGACCGGCTATGACATGCAGGAGCAGGACAGAGTGCACATGAGCTCCTCTCTCTCAGAAGTGCTCAGAGGCCATGAGAAGTGGATGGTGCTGGCCAGTCCATGGCTGATACTGGCCTGCTGCCGGCTGCTGCGTTCACTGAACCAGACGGGCGTGCAATGGGCCCACCGGCCTGACTTCGGCCACTGGCTCACCAGGTGAGAGCACGTGCCTATGGCCGCAGGCTGGACCTTCCACATCTGACTGATTGCAGGCTAGACTCTTCTGTTTCTAAATTTAGCTTTATTTCCCATATTAAGAAGGGGATAGGCCAGACGTGGTCAAGGCAGGCAGATTGCTAAAGGTCAGGAGTTTGAAACCAGCCTGAGCAAGAGTGAGACCCTGTCTCTACTAAAAATAGAAATTAATTGGCCAAATAAAAATATATAGAAAAAATTAGCCAGGCATGGTGGCACATGCCTGTAGTCCCAGCTACTCAGGAGGCTGAGGCAGAAGGATCGTTTGAGCCCAAGAGTTTGAGGTTGCTGTGAACTAGGCTGACACCATGGCACATGGCACATGGCACTCTAGCCCAGGCAACAGAGTGAGACTCTGTCTCAAACAAAAAAAAAAGAAGGGGATAGTATTTGAGATCTGTAAAAGTAGGACAATATACCAAAACCCATGAACCAATGTTGAAAGGTGAATTTATTTTGAAGCTAGCCTAATAGGTGTCTTTTATTCGTGTTGATTCACTGTAATTGTTCATGATTGAAAGCCTGTAAGTTTTAAAATGACCATGGTAGTAAAGATATAGTTTTGATGTCCAGCTCACTGGTGGCTTGTTCTGGACTGCCACTGCCCGTGCTCTGGGCCGTGGCCCTGTGTACCGTGCCCTTACTTGTCACACCCTTGCTGACAGTCCCTGCGAGGTAGCCATGGAGCAGGACTAGGCCAGCCAGGCACAACAGGACAGAGCCTCTGTGGGCAGCTGTGCCCTTCACCCACCCTATTCTCTCTCCCCATCCCTGAAAGGGGCAGAGCCAAGTGGGAGGATCTTCAGCCACCTCCTGAGCCTGTCACCAGTGACTAGAAAACCTCATAGAAGGAGGGAGAATTTGAAGTAAGGAGTGAAGTAAATAGGAGAAACGTAAACTTGAAAAAATCAAGATTTGACTATGTTTAAAATGGTAATTATCTGGCAATGAAGACTTAGGAAACTAAAGTGAAAGAATAGCAAAATGAAATAATACAGCGAGAGTGACATACAGGGAGCTGACTACCATGAACAGCGTCCATCAAAACTAGCGGCAGAAAAGAGAGGGAAGTGCTCACTCCTGGTGATTAGGGCACTGCACATTAAGTTACAAGGTGTTGCTTTATACCTCTTAAGAGAGAGAAACAAAAATAAATGATAAAACCCAGTCTTGGTGAGTGTGTGATGGCTGCTAGGGCCATATTACTGACGTAGTTCTTTTGGAAGATATTTGGAAATTCATGTTAAAAGCTATGAAATTATGGATTCCTCTAACCAAGTAATTCTTGTGGGAAATTTCTCCTAAGTATTAGCTAAATTAGCCATGCCTTGGTAAGCCCATTCATCACAGCACCCTTCAGGCACCTGCCTGCTGTGTGCCACTACCTTTCATTTGCACAGCAACCCTGGGGAGAGGACGTGGTTGTGCCCACTTTAGCGGTGAGGAGGCTGAGAGGGAGTATAGCTAGCAGGAAGCCACGTGGGACATGCTCCTCGGGACCAGAGCCTGTGCCTAGAGCGGCTGGATGCGTTATGGACCTCTGGGTCCCGGAGTAGCACAGGGACACCTCGTTTCTTATTTTTCTGGAAAACTGAAGCACTGGGAGAGAATCAGCTGGCTGCCACGCCCAGATGCGCTCAGCATGTGCGTGGCGTGTCCCTCGGGGCATGCAGTGCTGCCTGTTGCTGGCTCCGGACCTTCCCCCGTCTTCAGTCTTCCTGTGCCGTGAGATTATTCCCACCAATTTGTAAAGAGGCCTCTGTTTTGTACCTCCCGGCAACCTTCCATGCCTCGAAAGGTGTCTAAACCTGCTTCGCTATTGCTTTTTTTTTTTTCCAATTGTGGCATAACGGTAGCCCCCCATCCCTGGTTCTGCTTACCCGAGGTCAGCCGTGGTCTGCAAATATTACAATATTTTAAAAGAGAGAGAAAGACCACACTCATATAACTTTTATTACAGTATATTGTTATATTTCATTCTTAGTTATTTTTTTTTAGGTTATAAAGTCAACTTTATTTTATTTTTTTTATTTTAGCGTATTATGGGGGTACAAGTGTTAGGGTTATATATATTGCCCATGCCCTCCCGTCCTCCCTCAAGTAAGAGCTTAAAGCGTGACCATCTCCCAAATGTTGCACATGTTACTCGTTTGGTTGTATATACTCATCCCCTCCTCCCCCCCACCCTCCCTACACCCGATAAATGTTATTCCTATATGTCCACTTAGGTGTCAATCCGTTAATACCAATTTGCTGGTGAGGACATGTGGCTTGTTTTTCCATTCTTTGAGATACTTCACTTAGTAGAATGGGTTCCAGCTCTATCCAGGAATATACAAGAGGTGCTATATCATCGTTTCTTAAAGCTCAGTAGTACTCCATGGTATACATATGCCACATTATATTAATCCATTCACGAATTGATGGGCACTTGGGTTGTTTCCACAGCTTTGCAATTGTGAATTGTGCTGTTATAAATATTCGAGTGCAGGTGTCTTTTTTCATAAAGTGACTTTTGATATTTTAGGTAGATGCCCAGTAGTGGGATTGCTGGATCAAATGGTAGATCTACTTATATCATTTTGAGGTGTCTCCATATTGCTTTCCACAGAGGTTGAACTAGTTTGCAGTCCCACCAGCAGTGTAGGAGTGTGCCTCTCTCTCCGCATCCACGCCAGCATTTGTTGTTTGGAACTTTTTGATAAAGGCCATTCTCACTGAAGTTAAGTGATATCTCATTATGGTTGTGATTGCACTCCTTGATGATTAGAGAGTTGAAACATTTTTTCATATGTTTGTTGGCCATTATGTCTGTCTCTTTGAGAAGTTTCTGTTCATTATCCTTTGCCCATTTTTGATAAGGTTGTTTGATTTTTTCTTGCTGATTTTCCTGAGTTCTAAATAGATTCTAGTTATCAGCCCTTTATCAGATGTGTAGCTTGCAAAAATTTTCTCCCATTCTGTGGGTTGTCTGTTTGCTCTCTTGTCAGTTTTTTTGGCTATGCACAGTTTTTTAATTGATCAGTCCAGTTTTGTTATTGTTGCTGTTGTGATGCCTTTGGGATCTTCTTCATAAATTCTTTGCCTAGCCCAATGTCTAGAAGGGTATTTCCAACATTTTCCTCTAGAATTCTAATAGTTTCACACTTAAGGTTAAAGTCTATTACCCCAGCGTGAGTTGATTTTTTGTGAGAGGTGAAAGGTGTGGGTCTTGTTTTAGTCTTCTACATGTGCCGTATCCAGTTTTCCCAGCACCATTTATTGAATAAGGATTCTTTTTCCCCAGTGTATATTTTGTGCTGCTTTGCAAAGATTATTGCTATATGAGATGTTTTAGTATCTGGGTTCTCTGTTCTGTTACCTGGTAATGTCCTGTCTTGTGCCAATTCCATGCTGTTTTAATGACTATAGCCTTGTAGTATAATTTGAAGTGCTGGTAAATTGATACCTCCTATTTTGTTTTTGTTGCCTATGATTGATTTTGCTATATAGGGTCTTCTCTGGTTCCATAAGAAGCGCTTAAAATTATTTTTCTATATCTGTGAAAAATGATGAGTGGTACTTTGATAGGGATTGCATTGACTCTGTAGGTCACTTTGGGTAGTATAGACTTTTAACAATGTTGAATTCTGCTAACCATAAGCATGTATATTCTTCCATCTGTTTACGTCTCTGCTATTTCCTTCTTCAGGTGTTTCATGGTTCTCCCTGTAGAGATCTTTTACCGCTTAGTTAAATATATTCCAAGGTCTTATTTTCTTTTTGTCTATTTGGAAGGAATTGAGTGCTTTGATGTTGTTCTCACTTTACTAATTTGTTGGGGTATATGAATGTCTCTGATTTCTGTGATTAATTTTGTACCTGAGACTTTACCCAGAATTCCATTTGATCAATTCAAGAGGTCTTTGTGAATCCTTGGGTTTTAGTGTATATATTCCATGTCATCAGCAAGAGTGAGAGTTGATCTCTCTGCTCCCATTTGGATGCCCTTAATTCACTCTCTTGTCTGTTCGCTAGTAGGATTTCCAGGCACTATGGTTGAAAGAACGAGATAGTGGGAAACCTTGTCTTGTTCAGTTTAAATGGATGCTTTCAATTTTTCCCCATTCAGTATTGATATTGGGCTGGGTTTGTCAGTAATTATGCTTGTTCATTCTTTGTAGGTAAGCCGTCGTATGCCCTATTTTGTTGAGCGGTTCTTACGTAAAAGAGGTGTGAATTTGTGCAATGTGTCTGCCGAGTTCTAGGTGAGAGGAGGTGCTAGGTGGTCTGTTTGTTTGGCTTCTGTTTATATGTAATTACATATTATAATTTCATTTGTTGAACCAATCCTCGCATCTCTGGAGAGGGCCCACTTTGGTTTGGTTGAATTATTTTTCTGAGCAAGCAACGGATTCAATTGGCTAGATTTTGTGAGATTTTTGCATCTATATTCATAAGATTATGGGTCTGTAGTGTCTTGTTTGTGCATCCTTCCCTGGTTTTGGGTAATCAGGTATGTCACTGCAGAAAAATGTGTTGGGAGCTTCCATCCTTCTCAAATGTTGGAATAGATTCTGCAGATAGCACCAGTTCTTTCTTTGTAGTGTGTAAAAATTTGGGTGTGAAACATCTGCGTCAGACTTCCTTTTTAGGAGGTTTTATTGCTGTTTCAAATTTCAGTACTTGATATTTGTCTGTTCAGAATTTATCCTTCTGGTTGAGGCCTAGGAGCTATGTGTTTCTAAGAACATTGATCATCTTCCTCCACATTTTCCGAGTTTGTGTGGCATGAGGGTTTGTGTAAGTATTTCATAAAATATTAATTCTGTGATCTCCATGCATTCAGTTGAATTTCTCTTATTATTGTTCCTGAGAGCGTTATTGAGATTTTTCTCTTCTGTTTTGTTAAATCTAGCCCAATGTCATTTGTTTATTGTTCAAAAACAACCATCTTTTTTGGTGTTATTAATCTTCTGTATAGTTTCCGCCTGTTGTCAATTTCATTAGCTTCGATTTGATCTTAAGATTTCACTTCTCTCTGCGGTTTGGGGGGTCTGTTCTTCTGTTCCAGCTTCTTTGAGACGCATTCATTAGAGTGTCTATTTGTACTCTTGTGACTTTTGGATATAGCATTTAGGAATAACTTTCCTCTCAGACTGCCTTAGCTGTGTCACAGTATTGGTAACTTGTGTGCTCCTTGATTTATTCAAACGAATCTTTTGATTTCCATCTTGATTTCTTCGTTTATGAAGTGATCATTCAGCAGAAGGTTGTTTAGTTTCCATGACTTTGTGCAGAAATGAGAGCTCCTGTTAGGATTGATTTCTACATTTATTCCATTGTGGTCTGAAAAGATACATGGTATAATTTCTATTTTTTTAAATAGAAAAATAGAAATTTTGCTTTGTGTCCTAGGATATGGTCAATCTTAGAGAATGACCCATGAGCTGATGAGAACATATATTCAGTGGTTTTGGGGTAGAATGTCCTGTAAATGTCAGTCAGGCCCATTTATTCTAGAATTTTGTTTAAGTCCATTATTTCTTTGTTGATTTTCTGTTTGGAAGATTTGTCCTGTGCTGTCAGTGGGGTGTTAAAGTCTACAATTGTTATGGTGTTGTTAGTTATCCATTTGTTTAGATCCAGTAGAGTTTGATTTATGAATCTGAATGCACCAAGGGTTGGGTGCATATATATTTAGACTTGTTATCTCTTCTTGTTGAACTGTACCCTTCACCATTATATAGTGACCTCTTTGTCTTTTATTACTTTTGTTGATTTAAAAACTAAGTTATCTGTAATCAGCACCACCATGCCAGCTTTCTTTTAGCTTCTGTTTGCTTGAAATATTGTTCTCCACCCCTTTACCTTTAGTCTATGTGTCTGTGCAGGTTAGATGTGTTTCCTGAAGGCAACAGATACTTGGCTTGTGTTTTTTTATCCATTTGGCTAGCCTATGTCTCTTGAGTGGGGAGTTCAAGCCATTCACATTTATTGAGATAACTGATAGGTGGGGCAGATTTCTGTTCAATATGTTTGGTTGAACTTTGTTGCTTTGTTTTCTCTCTCGAGCCATTGTGGAATCTGGGCTTTGATCTTTAGCTTTGAGTAGATTTTCATTCGTGAGTGTTTATTGTGCTGATCTGTGGGTGACACTGTTTTGAGAACTTCTTGAAGGGCTGGTCTTGTCTTGGTCAATTCCCTCAGTCTTTGCTTATCTGAGAATGTCTTGATTTCTCCTTGATATACAAAACTTAATTTTGCAGGGAATAAGATTCTAGGCTGGGCATTGTTCTGTTTCAGAAGATTGAGAATGGGGTCCCAGTCTCTCCTTGCATGTAAAGTCTCAGTAGAGAAGTCTGGTATTATTCAGATTGGCTTTTCTTTGTATGTTACTTGTTTCTTTCATCTTACAGCTCTTAGAAGGGCCTCTTTAGTTGATATTTTGGTCAGTCTGATGACTGCATGTCGTGACGTCTTCCTGTTTGCATTGAATCTCCCAGGGGTCCTCTGAGCTTCTTGAACTTGTATATCGAGATTTTTGAGCAAGGCCTGGGAAATTTTCCTCTATTATATCTTCCAATAGCTTGTCCAACCCTTGAGTGTTTTCTTCTTCCCCTTCTGGTAACCCTATGACCCTCACATTAGGTTTCTTCACATAATCCCACATCTCTTGTAGGCTTTGCTCTTTTCTCTTGTTTTTCTGCTCTATCTCTGCGACTGCTTTACTTAATTGGAAAGTGTTATCTTCAATCTCTGAGATTCTTTCTTCTGTTTGATCTACTCTGTTCTTGAGGCTTTCCACTGTATTTTGTAATTGATTCTTCATTTCCAGGAGTTCAGTTGAACTTTTCTTAATCATATCAATTTCTTTAGTGAATTTTTGTTCCAGGTCCTGGAGTTTTTTTGTGTTTTCTTGTGTTGGTTATCCAGTTCTTGCAGGTCGTTCAATTTTCTTATGATCCACATTCGAAATTCCTCTTCTGTCATTTAGGTTGCCTGATTTTGGTTGGTGTCCGTTTCTAAGGGGCTGGTGTTCCTCTTTGGAGGTGTGGTTTCTGTTTGGTTCTTCATATTTCCTGAGTTCCTTCGCTGATTTCTTCCCATCTCAATCAGTTGTTGCTTCTTTCCTTTAGGTTTTTCTTTGGGTAATGACATGACTTGTTTAGTCTCTGAGCCGGTAGGTGGTGTTTGTGGGTGAGATTCAACCACGCCCTGCATGATGAGTCAGTAGGTGCCGTGAAAAGGGTGTGCACAATGTCCTCCCTGTCAGTAGGTGTCACTTGCTTGAAGGAACAGGCTACGCTGTTGTTTTTGTGACCTGTGACCAGCTCTTGTTCTTCTAGAGAGGCACTCTAGTGCCGCAAGTGGTCGCTGGGGCCCTGGGACTTCCAGGTGTGTCCTTTTCTCCCCCTCAGTGTGGGCTGGTCTGGGAGTGAGTCTGGGCGGAGCTGGGTTGGGTAAGCCTGGCCTCAGGCACCACAAATGCTATTAGCAGGGATCAAAGTTCTGTTCTCTGCTTCTGGTAAAAGCTGCCAGGGAGGGGCTGGAATGGCCTGGCTCAGTCAGAAAGTCTGTGTGTGGGGGTGGGGCTGTCTGAGACTGGCAGTCTGCAGCAGGCCTCACTCCTTTCCACCCTCCCCAACTCCCCGGCTACTCCTGGGCCTCTGCCTGCAGGCCAGACCTCACACCACCGGGCCTTCCCTGGCTGTGATGCGGGCGGGAAGGTTCCCTGCACAGGAACGCCACCTGGGCTGGGTGCAGGGCCTCCCTTTGGGAGGAGGGTTGCCCTCTAGGACGCTGATCTGCCCCTGAAGGCACACACACCTCAGTAGGCTGTTCATATATATCCCTTCTGTGCCCCGGGCAGTGTGAACCTGGGTGCATGGGATCTGGTCTGCAGGTCTGACCTCTGGGCTCCGGAGTTCAATCCCTATCCCCACCAGGGAGAGGAGTGCCAGTCCCAATTCACCCACAGGGAGCCCAAGCTGGATCTATATCTCTCAGGCTCAGGGTCTGCCCCGTTCTCCTGGGATCACCGGGGCCAGCAGCACCTGGGAGGACTGACGGGTAGGGGGTTCACCGTCTGAGTTCCCCCCAGTCAGCTGTAGGGCCCCAAAAGGGAAGGTCCCATTCCCTGGAGGTGCCTCCAGCTGGTGGCTATATTGTCTCTTAGGGGTGGGAAGAATGAGGCAATATGGTACCTTCCGCACAGCTCTGGTCTGTGCACACGGAGGTGTCCCACGGGAGTTGGGAGCCTGCTGCCGCGTCCACTACAGGCTTACCACTCGCTGGCGGGGGCCGTCTCTGGGCTGGGTGTCCGCAGGTCTCTCCACCCTCTGGGGAGCCCACCTGGAGTCCGAGATGCAGGGGAGGGGAAAATTAACCGCTCCACCTACCCTGGCCGCTGGTCTCCAGGCTGCTCCGGAGGTCTCTGCTTCCAGTTCTCCTCCGCAACCTCCTCCCATGGAGTCTCCCATGGTCTCAGATACCCCTCCTTCCGACCCTCGTCTCATGTATGCTCATCTTCTTCTTTCATCTAATTTCTGCTAGAATCTGTCTTTTCTGCAGAGACACTCTATCTGATGGTGTTTCTCATCCGCCATCTTGATTCTAAAGTCCCATTGTTAGTTATTGTTAATCTTGTGCCTAATTTATAAATTTAACTATACTATACATATGTATAAGAAAAAACTGTATATATGCGTGTGTGTGTGTGTGTGTGTGTGTATGTATATAGGATTTGGTACTTTCTGCAGTTTCAGGCATCCTCTGGGGGTCTTAGAACATAACTGCTGCAGTTAAGGGGGGACTACTGCATAATAATCCAGAACAGTGTGTAAAAATACATGTGATATAAAGTGATAATAAACAAATGCCCGGTACCCCATCCCAGGTAAGGCCCAGGCCCTGATGTGGCTCCAGTCTGCCCCTCCCTTCTCTGAGCCCCATCCTGATATTGGCAAGGTCTTTCCTCAGCATTTTCTGAAGTAGTTTTTCCATTTGTATATATACCTTGGCAGAATATTTACTTGTGCTTTTAACAGCTGTTAACTTTCTGGGCTTTGACTTGTGTCAGTCAGTAAAACAGAAGGGATACTAGCTTTCCCAGTGTTCCCACTTGGGCCGAGGTGGCAGGCTGGTGGCAGGACCAGGCAGCGGCTGCACCACAGGGGCAGGGGCCAGGGCCTCAGGCTCTGTCCTCAGTGAGCTGTCGACTGCCACACTGTCTCCTCACCCTGGAGCAGGGGGCAGCAGACACTGCACGAGGCTGAGCGTGTCTACTGAGTTGATCCAGGAGCTGGAGCCAGGAGGCGAGCTGGGTGTACACAGGCAAATGAAAAGCTGCCCCAGAAGAGAGTGTCAGGGGCCAAGAAGACTTTTGCGTGTCGCCACCTGGCCTTTGATCATGCAGAGCTGAGGGTGGGGCCCTGGTGAGTGAAGAGTGAAGAGTTCAGGTTGCTGGGCTATTACCTGTTACATTTTAAGCAGCTTTGTGTGAGTTTCAATAACCAACAGTTTTATTTTATTTTTACTTTTCAGGAAATTCTGTTATTTTTAATACAGTTCTTGGAAAACCACTTGGTGTAGATTGATAGCATCACTATTTGGTAGTGATTTTGGCATTTTCTATCTCATTTCAGCTCTGATCACAAAGCGGAGCTCTCGGCCCTGGCCGCCCTCTCCCTCCTTGTGACTTTCGTGTTGGTTCAGAGGGGCTGCTCGCCCGTGTCCAGGGGGGCCTTGGCACTGGGGCTGCTGGGCGTCTATTGCTACAGGGCGGCCATTGGCAATGTGCTGTTCCCCTGGCAGCCGGACAACAGAGACATTTCAAAGTAAGTGCATGGGCAGACACAGTGGTGTGCTTATAGATCTGTTTTAATATTTTATGTTCTAAAAAAAGCCATGCCAATCTCTAGAGCACTAGGGTTTGGTGTTTGTGAGTTGGCAGCCACTAGAGCCTAAGAAAACCTCAATTAATGGCTTTGTTAGTGCCTTTTCTTTTTTAAGGAGACAGACAACTTGGAAGTCATGTCATTGAAATCTATTTTTTCAATTAAAAATAAAACCTCCAGGGTATAAAATAGACATACAGATGAGTATAGATGGATGTCTAAGTTAATGGCAACATATAGTTTCAGAGTTCAGTTTTGCTCAGTCAGGGACTTACTGTAGTAATACAGGTGACAACAGTGGATACTAGAGAATTCAACTGGCCCCATGGTTTTCAGCAAGCTCCTGTGAGGGGCCAGGAGCTCGTGCCACCCGAGCATGTGAGTGCTAACTGGGAGGGCTCAGTCATGGATACCATGTTTTGCATATCAAAGTGGCTGCTTTTCTGTTTTTAATCATGCTGTGGTGAAACAGACTCCCTCCCTGTCCCGAGAGGTGGGATGAGCAGAGGCCATTCTGGAGGGAAGTTTTGAAAATGCATCTAACCCTCTGGCATGGCCTCTCTGATCAAGTTTATCTCAAGAAAACAAGCAGAATGGCAGCCTGGGAATGGGATGCAAGCATGCTCCCTGAAGGTTCATTTACAGTCGCAAAGAGTAAAGACAAGGTAGTTATCCAGCAAATAGTAAGGTGATCCTCTCAGTTGTATGGAAGTTTTGTAATAAATCTTGTAGCTGTCGGGGGGGTATGTTTTCACAGAGCACAGAACAACACTGTGGAGCAATAGGCTGTAAAACTGCAGCGTGACCCCAACTTACCAAGTGTGCACATGTTCTCTTTCATATTTATGTGAAAGACTGAATACATAACATGTTGGTTGTGGTTATATTTAGGATCTGGGATAATAGGTGGATTGTGACCTTCCTTTTTACTCATTTTTGTACCTTACAGATGTCTAGAATTAATAAGTATGGCTTTTCTAATCAGAGGAAGGGTCAAGGTGAGAGCTGAGGGCTCTGGCCAGGCTACATGGGTGGCTCTGGGGAGCTTACCTGGAAACACCGATGACTTATCGATATGGGGGTGATGGGGGGTTGAGGTGTCGCCATGGGGCCTGGCTGAGGTGACAGCTATGTGGCAGGTCTTCACCTGAGGCGGGGAGGCCAGGTGGAGAGACAATGGTGAGTTGCAGGCACCAGGGGTGTTCTGTGGAGATGTAGGCTGTTAACTTCAGAGTCTGAGACTTTGGGCAGATATCAAGAATGGATGTTACATTGAGGGGTGTTTGTTTAAATCTCAAAATGCAGCATGTGAATAAATTTCTCATTTCCTGTCAGATCTATGTACCTGATTTCAGCATCACTCATTTCAAGACTTTGTTCGTCTTACCTTACCTGCTTACTACAGTGTGTATGTTGCTAGTGTCCAGAAAATAGCCAGTGTGCCTTTCTTTCAACATCCCTGCTTGATTCGCATTCTTCCTGTATGATACTTCCACTCCTAGTATTCCCTCAGTCCTGATTCTGAATACATCCTGGTTCCAGACCCACCCTGATGCTAGAGCCATCTTGGTTCTAGATCATGGTAACAGCTTCTTTTCTCCCACCAGCCCCCAGGTGCTGCCATCCATTGGCATTATAAATCCTTTGCATTTGACTGCTGACTCTCTTCTCCACTGAGAAGCCCAGGCTTGGCGGGCATGGACGGTCGAGTTGCAGTGGTCCTGGGTGTGCAGGAATGGGTGCTGGCCGGTCAGGGCAAGGAGGAGGAGGGCCTACTGAGGGCGTCTGATGCTGTTCTCCCTCCTGTCCACCTTCCAGCCCACCCTGGCGTCCTCTCTTGATACAGAGGCCAGTCCCTTTTCTGCTTTGAAGCTTCTGCAGTGGTGCCAACCTTTGCTGATTTTTCCCTTCTTTGGGCCCCCCTGGGCCTGTCATTCCCTCTCAAATCAGCACACAGCTTGGCCTGCGGGGCTTGTCGGGTACCTGACCCCAGCCCATCAGCTGGGCATAGCCCCTCATGGCAGGCCACACTGCCAGGCATGGGGTGCACCGTGCTCAGACTGTTTGAATTAAACTGATCACAGTTTTGTTTTTAAATATATAAACCTTTCTGAGAGAATCTGATGGAAAAATTCAGTTTTTTAAAAGTTATATTGTTGTGATATTTCATTTTAAAATTTATTTACTTATTATTTTAAATTATCGGCTTTTCTAGTGTATATAAAATATTTCATTTGCAAAATTTATTTAAAATATTATCTTTTAGGAATATATCTGTTTTATAAGATGAAATTCTTTGGCATAGTATCATAGATTGTATCCTTTACAGATGACCATCAAGGAAATGCTAAAATCCTTAATTCATAATAGTACTTAATATTTACTAAGCATGTACTGTGTACTAAATACTTTATATGTGTTTTCTTGTTTAATGCTACACCTTGTGAGGTATAGATACCATTTTCTCTTCCCCTTTTACAAGTAGCACAGCTGAGCATCAGAAGTCTTGCTTAACTTGCTCCCAACACCAGAGCTAGTCGCAGCAGGCCTGGGCTGAACAAAGCCCCATCTTTCCCCCAGCCCACAGTCTGAACTGCCACTCCATTGCACATGAGTGTGCAGATCAGTGTGCAAGTACTTTTCTAAGGCTGCTTGATTGTGAACATGCTCAGTTGTATGATTCGCATTCATGAGCTCATGGAAGGTTGTTTTGTTTTGTGACAGAGTCTCACTCTATTGCCCTGGCTTCAGTGCAGTGGTGTCAGCCTAGCTCACAGCAACCTCAAACTCCTGGACTCAAGCAATCCTTCTGCCTCAGCCTTCCAAGTAGTTGGGACTACAGGCATGCACTACCACGCCTGGCTGATTTTTTTTCTATTTTTAGTAGAGATGAGGTCTTGCTCTTGCTCTGGCTAGTCTTGAACTCTTGACCTCAAGCAATCCTCCTGCCTCAGCTCATGAAAGTTTCCAACAGAATTAGAACTTATACTAGTGCAATGGTTTTTCAAATTAACTGTGCAAAGCAGGTGGATTTTCTGGTGTGCTACAGGGCATAGCTTAGGTCTCGCCACCATGTGATCCTTGGGCCAAACAAGCAAGATCTCCCAGAAGCCGACTGCATCAGAAAAGGGCCTGCTGGGGCACACCTGTTGGCTGTGGTAGAATGCTCCTCCAGGGCTGATGTTCAGAGGCAGACATGCGCACTTGCGTGGTATTACCGGGGGTCAGGGAGGGTGCCGAGGTTCATTTAGCCAGCCACACTGGCCCATTTAGGCATCACCCAAATAGACATGTGTGTTTTTCGTGGGAAAATATGTACTTGAATTTTTCTAGCTGGTGCTAATGAATCTAACTTGTTTTGCTTTTTTTTAGGGGTATTATTGAAGCTCGTTTTGTTTATGTCTTTGTCCTTGGCATTCTGTTCACGGGCACCAAAGACTTACTTAAATCTCAAGTCATTGCTGCAGACTCCAAAATCAAGACTGTAGGTTTATGGGAGATTTATAGTGGATTAGTCCTTCTGGCAGCCTTGCTCTTTAGACCACACAATCTTCCGGTCTTAGCATTTAGTCTCTTGATTCAGACTGTCATGACTAAATTCATCTGGAAGCCCCTGAGACACGATGCAGCTGAGATTACTATAATGCATTATTGGTTCGGTCAAGCATTCTTCTATTTCCAGGTAGGTTTTCCTTATTACCGTGGGTAGAAGACTATTAACTTTTTATATGTCTATTTTTTAGTTTTTCTTTGAGAAAATTTTACCACAAGTTGGAAAGTTATGTTTATTCAGCAAAAGAACTGTCAGTATGGCACAGTAAATTATGCTGAAATCTTATGTATATTTTATAAGATAAAGTACAGTTAGTCACTTAAGACAGCCACCCTAAGTGCTGGATGGATTGTTGGTCTGCTGGGTCGGGCCTGCATTTGTTTATTACGAGCAGTTGGAAACATGTTATGTGTTTCTCTTGCTTTCTTCAGTGAATATAATACTTGTGCTTTCTCATGCCCTTTGCCCCTGGTATCAGGACTGTCCACACTGGGGACCATTTGGTGTCCCCACTTGGTTATTAGTCCCTTGGGCCTTGTGGGTCATCAGGTCTTCTCTCTGGTGTTTAAAGACTCATCACAGACAAGCTCAAGCTCACCTTGGTTATGCACAGGCATAGATAAGCAGCACCTGGACAGGTAGACAGGCCTTGAAGGTATCCAGTTCCATCCATCCTCATGGCATCCCCAGGAGAGTGGGCAGCCATAGTTGCCCACCTGGCTCTGGCTCCCTGGCTGAATGACTTTGCTTCTGCTACTGAACACCTTGGGTTTACTTTCTTGTCTTGACAGCGAGGGTCTGTATTTCCTCTGTGCGCGCCAGCTTCTTCCCCTCGTCCATCCAGCCCCGAGGGCGTGTCTGGTTTTGTGTCCTGACAGGTTGGCCTCTTCCCCGTCCTGTCCTCCTCTCCTGGTCTCCTGGTGCTCCTGGCCTTATAAACAGAGCAGCCCACAGTTGTAGGCTATTGTCTGTCTGTCCCTCTGACCCTGAAGCCCAAAGGTGGCAGGAGTGAAGTTACAGAATTATAGAAATCTGTAAGTCCTCAAGCACCGTGGTGTAGACCATGGCCAACACACCGATTCTTAGTCCCATCTTGGTGCCGCCCTGCCCTTCTAACCTACTCAGCCCTCCATCGCCTTGTAGCAGCTGTAGCTCCCCCTCTGTCGGATCCCGCACCTGTGCGGGGAGCACGGGCATAGGGGCACGAGAGTGGGGTGATCTTGCCAGAAGTGCAGGTGGCCGCAGGCCTGGGTGCTGGTTCCCAGCACTTCCAAGCCAGGTGGCCTCTGCCAGGCTCTGCTGTGCCTCAGTTTCCTTATCTATAAAAAGGAAATAATAAATAGTTCCAGGCTGTTGTTAGGGTCAGGAGCTCAACTAAGCCTGGGCTGTGCCACAACGTGGTTGTGACTCTGGGCAACGAAACAGCCTCTGGAGTTCGCTGTGCTCCCCTGCAGGGCGCGGCCGTGATTCCATGGTTGTCATGAGACACAGTGTGGCAGTGGCTGGGCAGCGTGTCTGAGGGCCACTAGTGTTCATGTAGCAGCTACCTTCCTAGCGCCAGGGACTGCTCAGCAGGCAGAGTCAGCAAAGAGTCAGGCCTCGTGGAGGTGGGCCACGGTCTGTCAAGGTGTAAGTAGCAGAGCAGGCCCCGCTGCCATCCACTCCTGCCCTCCCTACACTCCAGCCCCCTGCACACGGCCCTCCCCAGCTCTCATCTTTCTGTCTTTCCAGGGCCCATTTCTTTAGGTTGAGTCTCTTTCCCTTCACTGTTTGGTTTCTTGGGAGAAGAGCCTATGGGTTTCTGCCCTGTCCCTGCCTCCTGTCCTCAGCTTGGCAGGTTCTTAATGGCAGGGCACAGGAGCATGGCTGTCAGCACTCATCTAACCACCCTACACTTGTGCTCAGTCCCTGGGTCTCTCTGCCTCAGTTTCTACCCTATACGACAATAACAACACACCGCATCTGGACTGTTGGTACCAGCAAAGCCTCAGAACACACAGCATGTGCTGTTGGCTACTGAAACACCACCATGGTCAGCACTCAGTGCATGGCTGAACCTGCTGGGGTCACCAGCGACCTCCCAGGTATCAGACCTGCTCTAACTTTGCCACATTGCCCTTGAGGTACTGCATGGAACTCTGTCCTCCCTCCTCCCATCCCTCCTGCCCCACCTGCCGCATTTCCTGATGCTCCTCGGTCTCCCTGGGGAAGGGCTCCAGACAGAGGAATTACGTGATCCCAGTTGCACCTTCCAGGAGAGCCCAGGTGGCCATGAGTCACGGGGATTGATGGGGAGGCACAGAATGGAGGTTGAACCGAAGGGATGGGGCCTAGGTAAGACAGCGAGGATGGGAGTAAATGCACATCTCTGAGACGTGGCAGACGTCAACGTGGTGGCCCCTTGGGCCCACAGATATCTTCGTGGAATGAAGCTACAGCTGAAGGAAGTGGGGTTTGACCACTGAGTTTGCTGAGCTGGTGAGCACCAGCCAGAGTTGTTTCATAAGCCCGCGGACAACCAGTTCCAGAGAGGGGCGTGGCCAGGCTTGATAGAGACATGAGCTGTCAGGTGGTAAATGCCTTGGGTGTCTGAGGAAAGGTCAGCATGATAGGCCAGGCGCGGTGGCTCACGCCTGTAATCCTAGCACTCTGGGAGGCCGAGGTGGGCGGATTGCTCGAGGTAAGGAGTTTGAAACCAGCCTAAGCAAGAGCGAGACCCCGTCTCTACTATAAATAGAAGGAAATTAATTGGCCAACTAATATATATATAGAAAAAATTAGCCAGGCATGGTGGCACGTGCCTGTAGTCCCAGCTACTTGGGAAGCTGAGGCAGCAGGATTGCTTGAGCCCAGGAGTTTGAGGTTGCTGTGAGCTGGGCTGATGCCATGGCACTCACTCTAGCCTGGGCAACAAAGTGAGACACTGTCTCAAAAAAAAATTAAGCATGATAGATGACACAGCATCAGAATCAATACAGATTGAAGGGGAGAGGTAGAATCTTAGGAGATCCTTTTTTTGTTGTTTGAGACAGGATCTCACTCTGTTGCCCAGGCTGGAGTGCAGTGGCATCATCATAGCTCACTGCAACCTCAGACTCCTGGACTCAAGCGGTTCTCCCACCTCAGCCTCCCAAGTAGCTAGGGCTGTAGGTGTGCACCACCATGCCTGACTAATTTGTTCTATTTTTTATACAGACAGGATCTCGGTATGTTACCTAGGCTGCTCTCAAAACTTCTGGCCTCAAGTAATCCTCCCACCTTGGCCTCCCAAAGTGCTAGGATTACAGGCATGAGCCACTGTACCCAGACGGAGATCCTTTTCTTGGATCTAAAATCTTGCCACTCAAATGCAGGGTGAGCTGTATGGCATTGGCCCTTGTGTCCCATGGCAATTTACCCACCAGGGCTGGGCCATACTGACCAGAATCTTGGCAACAGTCAGGTGTAGTTAGTTGTCATGTCCGACATACAAGCTACATGTGAGTTATCCGTCTGTGCCGGGGCTGCGCTCCCCCAGCATGTGGCCTGCTCTCCACAAGTAACTCACAACACATGCACCATGTCACTGTCAAACAGGGCCCAGCCGTGTGGCCACCCTTTAGTCTTTGGCCCAGCATTGCCCCATCGGCCGGTCCAGGCAGCTGTGCCCCCCAGGACCATGTGCACCACCCTCTGACAGCAGGTTTTTGTGGGGAGGTCCGTGTGTTTGTCCTATGAAAAGTCCATGGATCTGGATGAAGGGTGAAATTTGCCACAGGCCATCAGCAGGTTTATATGTGTGTAGTTCCTTACAAGGGGCCAGGCATTTCTTCATAGGTCATCTCACCTGCTCCTCCCAGGCCTGGAGTGATGCAAGCAAGTGCAGGGTCAACTTGTGCAAGGCCAGTCAGTGGCCTGAGGAGCAGCCAGGCGGTCAGCTCTGACCAATGTGTGTGCATGCTGGTGAGGTCACCTGGGCCGTGTACACATTCACACTGACATCACCCATTCTGCTCTGCTCTTGTGTTCCAGGGCAACTCCAACAATATCGCCACTGTGGACATCTCAGCAGGCTTCGTGGGCTTAGACACCTACGTGGAAATCCCAGCCGTGTTCCTGACAGCGTTTGGCACGTACGCAGGGCCCGTGCTGTGGGCCAGCCACTTAGTGCATTTCCTGAGCTCAGAAACAAGCAGGTGAAGCATCTCCTGTGACTTGCAGCACAAATGTGGTGGCAGGTTGTCCGATTCTAAGCCTTATCCAGATACGGCTGTCTTGGCTGTACGGGCTCTTCATCAGTCTCTTTTCCCTCACTAGGAAGGATCCCTCCACAGCTTGACGGCCTGACGCATGTCAGAGGCGTGTGCACAGGTACAGGTTCAGGTGCAATGTGGGGCCTTACTGGTTCCCCCAGTTCATACCAGCACGTGGTTCCTGGAGGCAAAGGAGGAGAATTTCTTCCCCCAGCCCCCCAGTTTTTCTGCTTGCTAGTGGCCAGGTTTTCTGAGGAAGGAGTAGTTCTTCCTCTTTGGGGACCTGAAGGCAAAAGACACTGCTCTTGGCCTCTAGAAACCCTGCTGGACAGTGAAGGACCCTGGAGAGGGCTGCTGGCCGGAGCTGTTCACATTCCACGTCATCTGTGAGCAGCGGGGGCACATCCCTTCCACTCAGAGGCTGATGAGTTGAGTTGGAGAGGCAAGGGTGGTGCAGGGAGAAGTTCAGGGACACGTGAGCACTGTCCCTGTCACTGAGAGGTCCCTTCAGGCTGTGTCTGCCTCGCCTGCCAGGCTGCCCTACCCAATTTGGCCTCAGTCCTCTTTCCCTCCAGTCAGCCTGGAGTCTCCTCCAACACCCACGTCACTCGTGGCCTTGCCTCCTCCAGGGCTTTGTGCAAATGTGCCCCTCAGGGCCACCCCAGACCAAAAGTACAACCCTCCATGCAGAAAAATGCCTGTTTTCTCCACAGCATACCCACCTCTGGCATTCACTGCTTCCTTATCATTTGTATGTCGTATTCCCTAGAAAGAAGGCTTCATGAGGCGAGGACTTTGCCAGCTCTGTTTGCCACAGGAACCTCAGGGCCTCGGCCTGGCCTGGCAGAGCCAGGTGCCGAGTGGTGCACAGGAAGCTTGATCCTGTGCCTCTTAGGCTGGCCTGGGCATGTGCCTGTACCCCTGGGCCCAGGAAGTTATGTGACTTCTCTGTGCCTGGTTTTCCCCTCTGTAAAATGGCAGTTCCTGGGGGTTAAACAAGGGGGTTAAACAAAGCTGCCTGGAGGTGCCAGGGGGGTCTCCCTCATGCTCTGCCCCCATCCCTGCCAGCAGCGCCTGTGCCTCTCCTATGGGCTCACGTCACATACCAATGACATGGCCTCCTCCCCAGAAAGCAGGTGTCTGTCTGATGCTGGGCCAGCCTCGCGCACACTCTGGGTGGGTGCGGCCAGCTCAGCCGTGTCCTCACACATGTCCTGCTGTGGCCTTTCATGTCTCCACAGTCCCAGGCTTGGGATATGAAGTTGGAAGGTCCCCTTCCTGCCATCGTGAATGGCATAGCTCTTGCTGTGGTGGCTGTTGGCCCCACATGCCAATCCCAGCCGTGTTCAGGCTTCTCCTGATTAAGGTTCAGTGACACCACAGAGCGTTCCCCACGTCCTCCCCTCTGCCAGCAGTTTCTGTGGCCTCCGCTCTGCCCTCTGGCTTCTGCTACACAGCCTCCTGCATGGGGCTGTCCTCTCGCCACACCCAGGTGAGTCGGAGGGGGTCAGCTCCAGCGGTCACCAGAGACAGCTGCCGGGAAGGTGAGGTGCTGGGCACTCAGGACAGCCCTATCCTTTGCCCCTGAATGGCTGTGGTGCCCTTCACAGGACAGTGAGCACTGAAGCAGGAGCAGGAAACATTTACAGGACATTTTAAGTGGCACCTGGTGGAGATGCCACGGCAACAGGACTAAGGAGCCCCTTTACAGAACATGTGTGTACAGGTGCACACGCGTGCGCACACTCCCCGGTGCACACACTGCTGCTCTGCCTTTGAGCATTAGCCACCCTACAAGGAGCACCTCGCCGCTCACCTCCTGTGTCCAGGCCACAAGCACTTCTGAGCCAAAGGAACTGTCTGTTCTGGCGGAGATGCTCACGCCCCTCCCCAGCCTGAACCAGAGGCACCTGCTTCACGTCAGTTGTCCCCATCCATGCTCTTGCACTCCCAGTGCTCATGCGAGTGCAGACAGTCAGCAGAGGCAGCCCATGGGTGACGGAGACCATGCCTTTGGGAGACCAGGCGGTAGGGATGTGGGACGTGGGCTGATTACTGGGGAGAGACCACAGAGTAGCTAAAAACTCATCACAGTGTTCCAGGTGAGGCGACAAAGCTGGCTTGGATTAGGGTGCTGGAAAACCTGACTGCCGAGGATTCTCAGGAGCCCAGGAGCCCTTGCAGACGGGACTTATGGCTCATTAGGGGTTGTGGGTGAGGCGTGAAGATGCTCAAATAATGGAACTTGTAATTGTAAAATAAGCACAGACTCACGTTGTGCTTGGTGTAAGGAATAGGTTAGATGTTTGTAACAATTGTCTTAATGGTTTGAAAACAAAGGGAGGACATTAATGTGCTTTGAGGGGTGGTTCTTATTTCTAGAATGCTGTTCTTCACTGTTAATTTGCTTAGCAGACACTTTTGGCCAATGCCCTCAGATCAGACCAGTGTGACAAGATAGTCCACTAGACAGCAGGACGAAAAGTTCAGAACTGGAATTTGTATTTCATTCTATTCATTGGTTATATTTTATAATATATGTGATATAATAGTGCATGGATATAATTTTTAAATAAATAACTATGCAAAATTGGGGGTATATTTTCCACAATGTTTTATGGACTGCAGTGGCCCCGAAAAGCAGGGAAGCCACCGCCCACACCCAGACAGACCACGTCAGACCTCTGTGGGGAGGGCGTGCTAGAGAGACACGGTGTCTGGCGAACACCTGGGTCCTTGTGTGCAATCGGATTCTGAGAGCATTTCTGGAGAGCTCAGGGTGCACATGGAACATGGGGCTCTCACCCATCACTCCTCTGTTGCCTCTGCTTTATTTTTCTTTGTAGCATTTATCTTTTCCTGACATGTTAGGTATTTATCTGGTTTTTCCTGTCTCCTTCACTTGAATGTATATTCCTTGGGAGTAGTAGGGCCTACTCTCTCTCTTCTCCTGGACATCTGGAGGAATGCTGAGCCTAGTGTCACAGCGAGCCTAGTATCACAGTATTTTCCAAAACTTGTGCGGAAGAGAGCACAGCACCTTCCAGGAGTAGGAATTGCTGTAGTCCTTTTCCAAGTGAAAGCGTTGGTTACACTTGTGTCCTCGGCTTACGTGGCATTCAGTGACACATGTTAATGCACATTTTCTTTTCTATTAACAGTGGTTCAGCACTGAGTCACGCTTGCTTCTGCTATGCACTGATTGGTTCTATTCCAGTTTCCACATATATCATTTTGGTGACATCCCTGCGTTACCACTTGTTTATATGGAGTGTCTTTTCTCCAAAGCTGCTCTACGAGGGGATGCACCTGCTCATCACAGCTGCTATCTGTGCGTTCTTCACGGCCATGGATCAGACCAGCCTCACAAAATCTTAGACTAAGCTGGACACTAGGAAAATAATAGGTTTTTAAAATCTGCTGTTTACTTCATGCATCTGAATATTGTAAAATCTGTTTAAATGCAAGATCATTCTAAAAATATAGATATGAATTTTATGAAGTGATGAATAGTTTTAATTTCTTTGACCACTATGCCTGAGTTTGGATTAAATAGTAAGTAGTTTAATAAAAGGCCACTTTAAAATCTTTATGGTTTGTATCACATTTCCGCTATTGACAATCACTCTAGAAACTTCTGAATTTTCAATTTCCTCTGGATAAATTATATGACCCAAATATAATATATTCAGTGTTTAAACTGAAGAATAAAAAGGTTTCCAGCCTTTTTGTTGGCATGTGTGAATTTAAGAGAGCCCTGGAGCCCTAGGAAGAGGTGCATCTGCTGCCAGAATTTACCTCACAGCTCAGAGCTCTCAAAATCCTAAAAACCCCTGAGGGCCCCAGGGAGCTTTGCTTTATTATGTGGGTTACATGTATGTGTTTGTGGCACTGGTATAGAATGAAACTAGGATAAAAAAATAATCTATGGCACATGAATATAACATTTTGTAGAAAAATAACCCTATTTTCCAAAACAAGAATATTTAATGAGAGGAATGACATTGTTTTACATTTTCGTAAATCTCTATAATGTCTGGCTTAGTTCTGCATTCAGTCTGTTGCGATGTATGTGTTTGGTTGAAGTATATGAAGAAAATCCAGCCTCGCACAGATAAGTAGTTGCAGAAAGGAGAAGTATTTTAATGTCCTTATTCTGATCATTGTGGATGTCCCTTTTTGATACAAGCACCAAAATTTGACAAATGGTGTTTTCTTAAAGGTTAGTTGGACAACAGAAAAAGAAATGAGTGCAATAAAAACTGGTCAGATCCTACTGAGTTCTGTAACTGACTTAACAGAATTGTACCCATATCATTTTCCTGCTTTTAACAATGGAGTGTGGTTATGTTAGACATCGTCACTGGGGGAAGCTGGGGGAAGGGTACCTGAAACTCTGTACTGTTTTTGCGACTTCTTATGAGTCTTAAACTATTTCAAAATAAAATTTATTTTTAAAAAGATTAGTAACAATGTGGAATCTAAAACCGTATCAATGACCTTTCTTGTCTCTGTTGCTTTAAAACTCATTGATGTTGCACTCAGAGTGTATCTTTTACCCAGATATGATTCTGTAACAACTGCATTGTTTGGAAAATAGCAGTTCACTGAGTTATACAGATTTCCAAATGTTGACGTAGTTCATTATTCAATACCAAAATTCCTGTTATATCACCCCCAGTCTCATCAGGAAAGTCTTTAAAAATTGAGATGCTCACTTTGGCAGATATTTTCCAAAACTTTAATTTACATGTGAAATCACAAATTTTGTGATTGGCAGCACGTAGCGTGTTTTTTTTTCTTGAATTGTTTGTCTTCAAGGAAATGTCTGCCAGATACCCAAATCCAAATAACCAGTTTGTCATTCTCCCAGGGAAAATGGTGCTCCATGACCCAGTGGCTCATCGCTGAGACACTCGCGGTTCTGGGTGCGGCTCTATGCACACTTCCCACTTCCCACGGGCCGCTGCAAAGACACGTTCACAGGTCAAGATTCAGTTGAATCGGTCACTGCCACTGTTCAGCAAGGCTGCCCTTGAGGGAGACGCGCTTTCTTTGCTCCTGTGTGTGGCAGTGACACCAGGGCAGGCAGCGCCCTACCCGATCCTCACTCAGGCACAAGCAGTTTACCTGCCGTGGCCTTGCCTTTAAAACTCTTCTGATTCGGAAGAATAATGTAATCTAGAAGGAATTAGGGAATTGAACTCAAACATTTAAAATCTCGCCATCCAGAAGCAACAGCAACAGTTAGTGAATCCAATTCACAACATCCGGATGGAAGAGGGAGGGAGAGAGGGCAGGCGCGTAGCTGGACTCACCTGGAGATCATGCCAGATGTCACTATGTTGAATCTGAAGTAGTTATGTAATTTTTCTGAATATAAAGAAAAATTAAAGTAAAACCAAAAGAAAATGCTGAATTTTGAATAAATTTTTTATTATAAGAAATATTCATAAGACATTCTTATGAAATTAAAATAGATTATTTCTAAAACATTGAGATTAATGTTGATTTTTGAAAGCTACTCTCTCCTATGTAGTCCCTGTCTAATGGCTCCCCGCTATAAACGATAAACTTACCGCACATTCTTCCTTCCCCCACTTACCAAATTTTCTGCAGAATTGTGATTTGTAACCTGTATATTTTGTTCTATAAATTACATAACTGGTCGGTTTATTCTGTACTGACTCATTGCTCACCCCCAGTCCTTCCCACCTGCTAAATTCTTGATTTTCTTTTCCTTAATTTGCAGGGTGGATTTTGTTGTCTAGTAATTTTTTCAAAAAGGAATCAAGGATGTTTAATTCCGAAATATTTACATCTATGTACTATCAGTCTGGTGTCTTTCTGCCTTGTGTAGAATTCTTATGCTGTAGTTTCTTCCCTCAAGACGTGATAGAAATTGCTGTGCTTTGGTGTTACGTGAGGTTGTGCATGATCTAAAACCAAACTGATTTCCTCCCCTTAAGCATAACTTGCTTCTATTGGGTCTTTGTTTTTTTATTTTTTATTTTCCTTCCCTCCTGCCTTCCCTTCCTTCTTTCCTTCCTTCCTTTTTTCTGTTTTTATGCCTTTATCTTTCTCAATTTTACCTTTCCTTTTCACTAGCTCTTATGTAATTAGTGGTTTTCCTTCCATTCCAAAAGTTTTCTAGGAGAGTGTTACTGTACAAATAGTTAATTTATAAATATTTGAGTGTTTTATCACTTTCTGAAATTGTTTTTTTTCCTAATTACAGGACACTTCCCACTTAACATCAGTAATTCATTCTGAAAACCTGCTGTTTCATGCTAAAATGCTACCTGGGGATGTATTTCCTATTACTTTAAGTGGAAAACTATGATAATGCATTACACATCACACCCAAGCCCCCAGCCAGTTTTATAAAATGTCATGGAACAGTGCAATACCCACATGTACGTAACATACTATTATGTTAGGTGCAAAATGCTTAAAACATCACTTCCTGGTCACCAAATAATTAATATAGTTGTAAACAACCTTTGCTGTGTCCACCCACACGCCTCCGGGCACCCCACTGTGTCAGCCCCTTCCACCACGTCTACGGAGATGCAGATGTGCTGGCAGTTAGATTTGGAATGCAGCAAGAGATTTTTCTCACACATTGTTAGTTAAAATTGATATTTATTGAGTTTTAGGGACACAAATTTCTATATAAAGAAAGGCTGGAAAATGTTTTGAGAGATACATATAGCCTATGAATTTGGGTATTAAAAATAAAGAGGCATTATCCTAGGAAAGCATTAACCAAGAGATATTCGTTGAGGCATGCCTATATTTATTCTTTTTTTAAAATGTTGTATCTTGGAAATTTCCAAGTACATACAAAGTGAACAGAATGATGAGCACTGGACACCCTCACCCAGTTCCAGCAGCTGACACTCAGATGTTCTTATACATCTTAACTCCCCACCCTCCCAGGCAGTTAATTCTTATACAGTGTTTAGATTTTGAGGGATAATATACAGACATTGAAAAAGCAAAGAGCAGACCCAATTTGACAGATGGAAACATCTGTGTACACCACACCTCTTTCAAGATGTAGAATGTTTCCCTCTTCCAGAAAAATCCGTCAGGGTCTTTCCCAGAGATAACTATTATTTTATTAATAATTACATTCCAAATGCCCCTCGATTTACAATGGGGTTATGTTCTAATATCCATCATAAGTTGAAAATATTTTAAGTTGAAAATCCATTTGATACACCTAACCTACCAAATGTTACAGCTTAGCCTCACCCACCTTAAACATGCTGAGAATACAGACTAGCCTATAGTCGGGCAAAATTAACTAACACAAGGCCTACTTCCTAATAAAGTGTTGAATACCTCATATAATTTATTGAATCCTATACTGAAAGTGAAAAACAGAATGGTTCCATGGGTACCCGAGGTATGTTTTCTACTGAATGCGTGTTGCTTTCACACCATCATAAAGTCAAAAATTTTTCAGTTTAAACTATCATAAGTCAGGCACCATTTGTGGTTTTGCTTGTTCTAGAAATTCAATTAAGTGAATTCCTACAGGTAGGGTGTACTCTTCTGTCTCTAGCTTCTTTCACTCAGAATAGTATCTGTAGGTTCATCCATGTTAAATGTGTCAGATTCTATTACTTTTGATAGCTGGGTAGGATTCTACTGTATGTCCATAGCACAATTTGTTTATCCATTCTCTTATTGATGGGCATTTTGATTTTTTCCAGGTTTTGGCTGTTAGGAAAAAAGCTGCTATGAATTTTCATGTACACATCTTATGGACATATGTTTTCGTATCTCCTAAAAAAATACCTGGGACTGGGATTGCCAGGTCATAGAGTAAATGTATTTAAGTTCTAAAAAATTGCCAAACATTTTCCCAGAGCAGTTGACTCTTTTATATTCACTAGCAGTGTGGTAGTTCTTATTGCTGCACATCATAGCCAACATTTTGTATCTTTTTATTTTTATTTTATTTCAAGAAAATATGAGAGTACAAACATTTTGGTTGCATTTTATCTTTGCCTCTCCCTAGCAAGGGTTAGAGGTATGCCCTTCCCCTCCATGATGCTCACCGCATCCCTCAGATGCGGGTCTACCCCCCCCCCCGAATCCCTGGTGAGCACCACCACCATTTGAGCACCATAGTGTTAATCAGTCAGTACCAATTTGATGGTGAGTACATGTGGAGCCCGTTTTTCCTATCTTGTGTCACCTCGCTTTGGATAATGGGCTTAAGCTTAATCCAGGATAATATAAGCGGTGCTAGCTCACTGTCATTACTTAGAATTGAGTAATATTCCATTGTAAACATATACCAAATTTTAATAATCCACTCATGAATTGGGTTTTGTATCTTTTTAATTTTATTCATTCTGAAGGGGCTATAGTGGTATCTCATGGTTTTTATTATTTGCATTTTCCTAATGACTAATGATGTTGAAACTTTGCTGTGTGCTTATTGTTCACTTGTGTATCTTTTATTGTGATGTGTCTGTTCGAGGTTTTCTGACCATCTTTTAAACTGGCTTGCTTTTTCCTCGCTGAATCCTAAGAGTACTTCATACATTAGGGATACACGTTCTTTTGTTGTTTTTTTTGTTTGTTTGTTTGTTTGTTTGTTTGTTTTTTGAGACAAAGTCTTGCTTTGTTGTCCAGGCTAGAGTGAGTGCCGTGGCGTCAGCCTAGCTCACAGCAACCTCAAACTGCTGGGCTCAAGCGATCCTCCTGCCTCAGCCTCCCGAGTAGCTCTGACTACAGGCATGCACCACCATGCCCGGCTAATTTTTTCTATATATTTTAGTTGGCCAATTATTTTCTTTCTATTTATAGTAGAGACGGGGTCTCGCTCTTGCTCAGGCTGGTTTCGAACTCCTGACCTCGAGCAATCTGCCCACCTCAGCCTCCCAGAGTGCTAGGATTAAAGGGGTGAGCCACCGTGCCTGGCCAGGGATACACGTTCTTTATCAGAGATTTTCTGTGAATATTTTCTCCCAATCTATCATTTATTAATTTTTAAAATGGTATATTTTGATGAGCAGAAGTTTCTTATTTAGATGAAATCTAATTTATCAGTTATTTCTTTTATGGCCATTGCTTTCAGTGCCTAAGAAATTGCCTAAAGAGTCTTCATCTGTTCAGGTCACAAAGATGTGCTTCTTTCTGAAGTTTTTACAGTTTTCTTTAGCTTGTGTATTTCAGTTTATGACCCATCTCCAGCTAGTTTGGTATATGATGCGACAGGAGCTGAGGCCTCTCCCCTTCTTCCCTGCCCCGCCCCCAACACAGATCCCAGTTACGCCAGCACTATTTATTGAAAACCCTTTTCTTTCCTTTGTGAATTATGTTGGCTTCTTGGTCAAAAATCAGTTGATGGAATAAGTATGGGTCTCTTTTTGGACTCTAGTGTGTTCCCTGGATCTTTCTGTCCGTCGTTATGCCAGGACCAGATCGATCACTGTAACTTTATAT